AGGAATGCCCTGCCTGCCCTTCACATCTCAACGAAGAGAGCGCAGGACGCTTGCAGATCATACTGGTGTCATCCTTACCGGCTCCACAGAGACGTCTCAGATTCCCTTGGGAATCTCAAAGAGCAAGAGGTGCTCACACTTAGGGAACCAAAAGATGCTCAAGGCCGTTGTGAGAGTTGCTCAAATGACGAAATCATAACTGTCTGCTCAAGGGTAAACTAACTCTTCTCTAGACTCCACTGATTGTATTGGCTATATCCCCATCGGCTCTGCTAGAAACTTAGATGCCCAGAGAACTACAGACACTTCACTTAGGATCAATCTCAAACGAAAATCAGCCTCAAGAACAAACTCAGTGGAATTTGGGAACATAATCTATGAAAGCATTCCAAAATTCTTCACACAGCATAACTGCTCTGAAAGTTTCTGGCACAAACTTCCCTAGATCTTGCATAGCCTCAAGATCATTGCTACTGTTGTTAACCTACCTGCGTTTTTATCTTCCCTAGAAGTCAGCTAAGATTCAGAGATGCATTCTCATCAGTAAAGCTCCTGATATACACTAAGGGATTGTTTTATGAGTTAAAAAAAAAAAAAAAAAGAGATCAAGAAACTAAAAAAATGGAGTAAGTCTACAAATTTCAAATTAAACTTCATAATGTAACATCTGGAAATATATAATTAAGGTGACCAACACATCTTTGATATTTATCCCTGTAACACACACAACCAAGGAAATAATCCTATTTCAAATGTGTATCTTTATTACAACAATGCCTCAGTGAATGAAGAAATAATCTGCTTAAACTTCTATATTATTATTAGCAAAAGTAACTGTACAACGAACTCCCAAGAAACTAAATCAGTAAAGCTGATTACGTGGATTTAAAAAGCCAGAAAGTATTTGTTTAAAATCCAGCCATTTGCACTTTTCTTAATAAAATCTTTCTAAATGTATTACAGTAAGTTCAAGTTGTAGGGCAGTTGCTACTTTCCTGAAGTTTCCTAAATTTTTGCTCTTCATTAATGGATGCTTTCTAAATTAAAAAGTTACTGCAGAATTTCCACACTGTCTACTTTTAGAAACTAAATATATTTGAAGATGTCTTTCTCTTGCATAACCGATAGGCAAAATTGAGGTTTGAACAGTTTTTCAGTTAGGAAACTGCATTAATTCAGATAGCTTTTACTGAAGATATAAACTACAGGAAACATTTGCATAGGCAGAGGAGATGAAACAAAAATTTCAAGGAGAAGTCAATCAAATAATATTTCATCTGGAAGTAGTAAATATTTCTCTTGCAAGGACAGATGAAAAATTATAACCCTGCTATTATCAATTATGAAAGGAAAGGACAATTCCAATATTACATTGGAGAGCCTTAATTACATATTGTTAATTCATATTGGGACAGCAAAGGACAGCAACCAAAACAGTTGACAGGAACAGAAGACTGGAGATGAATAAAAAATATTTTTGTAAATCACAACTGTGTATAAGTATGCAAAATGATATTAAAAATAACTAACAAAAAGCAGGACTTTCTGGCAAAAACAATCCTATGATGTTAAACACGATGCTAATTTATGATTTTCAAATTGTGGAACACCTCCCATTCCATTTTTGTGGTTACAAGCTATCTTTTAATGACATACAAATTCCTAAGAAGATTCAGATTGCAAGCACATTCAGCATAGTATCCCGGCACAGAGCGCAGCCAGTTCCAACTACTACCAAGTGCAGCAGTGAATTTTGAAGTCAATTGTGTGCAAATTGCATTTAATATGAACACCATGTGCAAAATATGATGCATTAAAGTGGTCTTTAGCCAACAATCCTGTATGGAAACACTGCATCACTTTGACTATAGAGAAGGAGGACTGGAGACATCAAGTGAGAAGTTATGACTAATGAACAAAACTTCAATCATAACATCATCAAGACCATCTGAGATAGGAAACCAGAACTGTCCCTTGCAAATTTACCCATCCAGATTCTCTTTAGCTAATCAAAAATGGCAAGACAAGAAAGATCTCAGAGGAATCTCTGAATGAATCAAATGCTAAAATAGAGCAATCCTATAGGCTGCGATGCCCTTAAGGCTTGAGAACAAAAATACAGAAGAGAGAGCATTTATTCAAATATGATTTTTTTAGTCTAAAAAAAATTTGAACAACAGAGTTTTCTGAAATGAACATTTCAGGATTCGAGGTTTCTCTAAATTTATTCCTAATCAGCTTTTACTTCAAGCAGAAATATAATCAAGTACACAACAGCAGACAGGACATCAGCAAGACACAAGAATGTATAAAAATGACAATGGTGAGTATCACCTTTATGCTGTTGCCAGCAGAGGACAAAACCGGGACTGGATGATCTATCTCAGTGTCCTCACAAAAATCAATGCATGACATGAATGATGGAACTAAATTCTGTATTGATTATTCTATCCTACCGGCTTCTCTTGTGCATAATTCCACATAACATCCTCTGGAGGCGGTATCAGAAACCAGTCAATTGTAGAGCAGAAGGTATCTTATTTAGCCATCCATCCATCCCTCTCCTAGAGTTTTTCTGGACTGGTGGATGGGGAGGGGTTTGGTTATTCACTCCACAGTCTACCTATGTGGCTGTTAGTTCAGCTGCTCCTCAGGCTTTATTAGGTATGTGTAACTGAGTCTTGCAGCTGGCATTCAGCATAATAAAGGCTGCTGGATTTCATGTGGTGCCAAATGTCAGAGGTTATAGCTACTCATAACAGTTTAAATAATTTAAAATGGTTATTTTCCACTGCTTGGTTATTTTCCACAGCTTCTCTGAAGCTTGTCTTTTCGGATTGAAAAGTTAAATGAAAAATATTAAAAAACTCTTTACCTTTGGCCTAGGATTTCCTATTATTAGCGATATAGTAAATTCATACCATAGGATTTGACCTTTGGTTTCAGGCACAAGACCAGGCTATGCCAGAGGAAACCCAGAAATTCAATATACAAAAAGACTTAAAGCCCTTTCAAATCTAGCTCCCAAAAGACTTAAGATACGTGGTTTGCTGTTCACATCATGTAACGTTTTTATTCATCCTATGTTATCATAACATCAAAATTTTCTGTTGACTTTTAACAAAGTAATAGTCATAGCTTTTTCCAAGATAATGATCTATGTTTTTTCCTCCAAAATACTATCATATACATGTTACAACTATTTCACAGTACTGTAAAAAATCTGCACCAGTTAATAAATAGTAATGGTTGGTGAAGACACAGGCTGAAAGAAGCAGGAAAGATTTTTTAAAAAGAACAATATAAAAATGAAAAAATGCGCTGAAGTAGTTTAGTGTAAAATTGTCTCTCAAAAAGTTAAAGTGGAAATAAATTATACAGTTTCAGGCTTATGCCCTTCTTCACTCTAGCCACATTTTACTTGCTAAATAAGAAATATTCACACAATTCGATCTTGAATACTTATTCTTACGTGCTCATTGTGATGTAGATAAAACAGGACACAATACAGCAGGAAAAGATATGCACACTATAATGCTTATTGACATTTAAACTATCTACTACGGAGCTCCTTCCTGTCCTGAAACATACGTTCTTATCAGCTCTACCCAGATATATGACAGAATAATGGATCTACAGAAACACCGATACTTATTCAAATCTACCTTGTAGAGCAGCCATGACCTTAAAAGCTATATACAAAAAACTCCCCAGGATGATAACGTTAAGAAGGCAAATCATAAATGGGAATTGTTTCTCCTGTATTTTGCCATGAAATGCTTATATCCGTGCTAAGGATATGAGATAGCGCCTTGGAAACAGGTTCCTCAGTGGAAAGCTAGTTGAAAATTCTCAGACAGAACAGTTCTAAATCAGACTGACAACTCATCAAGATTAAAATATTTGGCAGAGATTATTTGATTCTGATGAAAGCAGACAGCATTATAGCAGAAAGGTTTTACGATGTGCCTAGTTCCCTCACTGCTTACCAGCCAGGCTTCTAGGTAACCAAACAAGAAGGCAAGTCTCTAGACTTCAGATGCTTCACCCTATGTAGTAGAATAACAACAAACAGAGAAGCAGGAACATGAGGCTCCAGACGTCCAAACACGTCCAGCATCTCTGCACCCTGGCTGGGTATCACAAAATCACAGAATGGTTGAGGTTGGAAGGGACCTCTGGAGGTCCAAACTCCCTGCTCAAGCAGGGTCACCTAGAGCATATTGCCCAGGATCGCGTCCAGACAACTTTTGAATATATCGAGGGAGGGAGACTCCACTACCTCTCTGGGCAGCCTGTGCCAGTGCTCTGTCACCCTCACAGT